AATATCCACCTTATTCACGTTTAACATTTCTCATAAAGTTCAATTACCAACAGTGGACCATATTAGGTGAAAGAAATAGATAGAAATCAGTTTTGGATAGAAACTTTAACTTTCTTAGCCGAGCAGACATTTAGAGAAAGTTAAACCAGAATAGTTGTCAAGATTCAAAAATGATAAGAAACTTACAAAGTGCATTTCCTATTAATGGCCATCCTCGTGGACCAGGTGGTAGCTTGTATCTCTTCTTAAAAATCAGATATGCCAAGAAACCTGTTGAAACTCCAACAAGGAGAGTATTCGTGATTTTTGATTTTGGTAATGATCCCCACACTTTATCTGGTATATACTTTGCTAATAGCTCTTTGACATATTCTAAAGACTCTTCAAACATGATTAAAGACCCAGGATATATATCTATGCCAAGATCTGAAAAAATTAATTTTGCAATTTATCCACAGTTTGAATAAGCTGACCCACTTACCCTGTGATAAATATTTATACATGTACTGTTATTTGTCTGTGTTAATAACTTTCCGCTATTGTTATTATTGTTGTATTGACTACACAAATGACACCCAAATGTAGCTCTGTATTCATTAGCGATATCACAGTAGCTGTACAAACTCCTGCACCACTCGCCGCCCCTCCCTGAAATACAATGATTGAGGTAACAAGCTACTACCCACAACAACAATTAATTGTAAAACCTTAAACCTTTAAAATGTAGTACAGATTTCCTCTCTGCTGTCTATCAAGAGACAATATTACTACGGATAAGATAAAAGTAGGTCGCTAGTTAATAACAAAACCGAGTTGGTCCTATATATAGTGTATACTTTCTTTGTATTGAGATATATTGCCCTCATCAAACTATATCATTTTTATTCCAAAGATCTGTTTTATTTAATACATAAATGAAACAGACTAAGGAAAGAATTCATGACATTCTTTTAGATGTATATTCGTTAACCAATGAAATGTTGTTACCTGAAGCGGATCAAGAAGTACGGGTTAAAGTTAGCATACAGTAAGCCAGCATACTAAGAGATGTGGACGATTGAACATGTCAAATCGACCAAATGTAAAGTACCGAATTTTGAGCCTTTTTGTTTTCGAAATTGCTTCAAATTTTTAACATAGTATCTCACATCGTCATGTTCTCTTTTCAAATATAACATTTTCTTAGTCCCATCTCTCTTACATTTCATATGGAGGTCAATTAAAGACACGTAATATTTTAAATGTTTATTATAGTGCTAATAGTTTTGCAACGTATTTCGAAGCTAAGCCGTCATAATCACTTCAAATATATAAATACATGTACTTCAAATCATAACCATCGTATGTTACGTCATTCCTAATTCGAAATACGAATTCATTTAAGTTTCACCTCGCTTCCTTTTTGTATGATGGCCCATCCACCATATTCTGTATATTCTCAGCAAACAATAAGAATTTAGTGGTAATTTTCGAGTCTTTTAAATTTAAATCATAGATCATGTATCTCACACCAGTCCTTATTCGAAATACGTGATCATCGAAGCGCTATCTCGTTAACTTTTTGTATAGTGGCCCATCAAAGACAACAGCCATAATGCTGATTTTTTTTAGGCTTAACCGTCACCCATTATATAATATTTTAATCCTAGTTTATCAAAATAGTCGTTTATCGAAATAAGAAATCATAAAGTGCCATCTAGTTTGATGGTATTTATCTCAAACTAGTCCTTATTCGAAATACGAATCCACCTCGTATACTTTTTGAATGGTACCTCAACAAAGACACATACCATAATGCATACAATAAGAATTTTGCGTTATTTATTCAGCATACAATAAGAATTTGGTAGGTCTCTTTGGCTTAGCCGTCATAGCAACTATTTCATTTTTAACCATGGTATGTTAGACCATTACTCATTCGAAATCGTTGCCACATGTGCCACCTCGGTAACTATTTGTCAAAGAAACCTACCATTTTCCGTATATACTCAGCTAACAATAAGGATTTAGTGGTATTTGTCTCGGCTTAGGTGCGCTACAAATTATTCAAATTCGAAACATAGTATCTCACACTAGTCGTCATTCAAAATATGAAATCGTAGAAGTGCCACCTCACACTTTTTTCTGGCAGTTATGAAGTTGGCGAAGTTAATATATCGTTGTTCATGGTCTGGGACTGTATCATAATCTCTACAAAACAGAAAAAGCTCAGCAATTTGGTTGCAGTTGTATTGAGAGAAAGTATTGAAAGTATTGAAATGCTGAAACGTCAACTGTATGAAATGAACTTCTTCAAAGCAGAAGCAAATGAATTGCTCTTGATTCTAGTACATAAACTAATCTTGTGTCTGACTAAGAAATTGGGAAATTGGATGACATGATCTTATCTGCTGAAGGAATGAGGCTTATTCTAACGTGAATATTGTTTCTGCCAACATATTTTAAGCCAGACAGAACTTGGTAATTTAGCATATAAAGAAAAGAAATGGAAAAGGTCAGAGGAATAAGAAACTTTTCTACAGGTCAAAATAATAATGAGGATCTATCTGCTGTCAAGCAAGCAGGGGAATGGCGGCACAAAAGAGAAAGATACCGGTTCTATAGGAATACAGATACTTGGGAAGTAAGTCAAGCTTCACGACTGTGGCACCGGAAAGACCAAAAAAGAGTTTTTTGCGACGCTCTAACTAGCATTGTATGAAAATGATGTGATTTACGTTAAAAGTCAAAACTGATTGACTGATGTTGTTTAACACTCACACCAAGTTTCACCGAAATCCGTCAATAATTATCCCTCTGGAGTGTTTACGAGCTAAAAGTTAAACGTTGAACCTCGTGTTCAATAACGAGCGCCTTAACTCAAATATTTGTTCCGATTTTTCTGATTTTCAATAGGGTTCATCCTTGAGTGATTACAAACACTCACAAAAGTTTTGTCAAAATATGGGAAAAAAATGAGCCTCTAGTCAATATACTCTCCACCATTTCATGTGAGTGTATAAAAAGATTGCTTTGTCAATTGCAAGCGTTAACAGAAAGTGAAGATGTTGTCAATCCCTGAGTCAACACACTAAAATATATCACTGACCAAATTTCACATTTCAAGGGAAGTGGCTGTGCTTACAAATACTTATATTTCGAAAGTAGTATAATTTTAACATGAGAAATACTGAACTCTTGATGTTCTATTATCATGGAGTAAATTCATTGTTGAGCAAATCTGATATATTATGAACAGTTTCTTCGATACTAGTATATTACTATACTGTTAATACTATAGTTAATGTATCACATCACATCCAGCGTTGCTTTCAGCGTTGAATCCAGCGTTGATTCCTGATGATAGTTTTAACTGCAATTTCCAGACACGTTGGGTGTCAATGTAATATCTCGGGGTATTGCGGTATCCAAGAACACAATTCAGTTTTATGTTTTATTAAACATGTATTTAAAACACTGAAATATATGAATGAATGAATAAAATTCAACTAGTTGGGAGCTGTCGTAAAGGGGACTAACTACATTATTCCATTTATGTGGTAAATATAAGTAAATGCTGTATTTATAATAACTTACCCTGTAACGGGGTTTTAAGACAAAACTAATTTATATTAATTTAAACAATAGAACTTTAACAGCTGAAATAAAGATAATTATTACAGATGAAACATAGGCTACATTCTAATGATACTTTAGTTTAACCTTGAAACTGTAAGCTAATATAATTATATTTTATGTAATAAATAGTTAAAGATAAAGAGTAAAATAATAATGTGAACTTATATAAATATGCAATCATACTCCCATAGACACCTACACTGCCCAACCCCCACCAAGACAATATAAATTACACATACCTGAAAGTATACTGAAGAAGTATTATAAGAGTATCATACAATCTAGTTGTATAAAAAATACAATATGGTGTTTGTTTTCCCAGATCTAAGTCTAACGTGAGCATAGAAGGGAGGGGACAGAAACAAGCAAACATTGACTGTTGCCAAGGAGATGCCGAAAAATGCTCACCCTGATCAGAGCCAACCCGTTAAATTGAAGGATAAGACTAAATAGGAAGTGAAGAGTGTTAATTAATGATTGCTATGATAAAAAGTGCTCAATTAAAAGTATATTTGTGACAAGCAATAGATTTATATAATCTGATCTGATGTACACTACATGGTAGAAATATACCGGCGATTGCGGAATATTACTGCACATGAATGGAAAATTATGTATTGACTGAATTCATCGTCCACAGATATGCCTGATGTATTATGTAAACATAGACTGGCTCCAAAAGAACTGAATCTACCTTCATTGATGTCCATTGCATGAGACTTTACATTACATTACGCATTACATAATTGTAACCATATGGAAATAGAGTGTTTCATCGATGAAAAGAAGTGTAAGATTACAAGTTTGGAATTAAATTAAACCATCGTTATCAACTTTTATTTTTGTACCTAAAGAAGACAAACCAGTAATAAAATCTGTTCCATAAGATATCTATAAGTTAAGAAAAAAAGAATGCTGATAATCCTTATATACATGTCAGGTATCTCGACTGGGCAACAGTTCATTATAGTTTACCTCTCATACAGTGAAATCATCCTGTATACTTATAACTTAAATTATTGCTAACGTATACTTACAACTGTAGCAATATCGGGGAATTCAAAATGTTGACCTAAGCTCTAAAAACAGATTCAAAGGTTCATAGCTAACATACTAAGTAATTTTGTACTCTAAAAATCTTGTGCGTTTTGTGATTAAATAATTCATGAATTATATAAGGTCAGTTGAAATTTTGAATTCGAATGTCGCAATGTGATTAATAATCACGTGGAAGAAAATTGTTGCAAGACAGAACAATACATAAACCTTGCTTCAATGATTGTTATCGTTCCATCTGGAAGTATTTATGTTCATGCCAACATTCTTTGGCCCCAATTCTAATGTTATCTTATCAATAGTAACCTTGATCCAAATAACCATATATCTCTTAAACACACGACCAATCCTTTCACAATTTGAAGGTAAGAATCTAGTTTTGAATACTTACTGATATTTCTGCATGGTAATAGCTCAATTAGGTGAAGAAGAGTAAGACGTAAACAAATACGTTATAATACCACCTACCGCAAAGCTTTATTTATTTTTTTAAATAGCACAATTAGTAGTTGGAGCTGTCCCGACTTGCATGCTTGTTGCTTTCTCGTGTTTTGAGTTTGTAAAATTTTCTTAATTCTATTGTTTTCAAGATGTTCGGGTTTTCCAACTTATGCTGGTGGTGGATTCTGAATTTCCTACTGCACTGTGAAACCAGAAATGAAAGAGCCGGTAGGTAATGCAATTCTAGCACAACCCGTCTAAAGGTCCAGGTTTCAATCCATATAACACGTTAAACCGGTTTCCCCCTGACGGCGCTGACATGTAAAAAACAACTGAACGAGGCCCCGTGAGTTACAGTTTCATATCCCTCGATAATTGGAAATCGAAAAACAGTTTGCTTATGCCACTGTCCCGACCAAGATTCTTTATCTGCAAACTGCACGACGTTGCTTGTCTTCAAGTCCAATCAAGTCCAGAAAAGTAAGATGTAAACCTCAAAATCAATTGAATATATTGTATGATATTCTGGGTACTATTGCTGATAAAATTGGGAATGAGACACTGCATCTATTGCTACCTTCCTAAATAGTATCAATTATCTGTAATCTATTATCAAGTTGAGAACTTTCCCGTGAAATATTACATTCCTTGTTCGGCATTTATTTAATGATCCACATTTAAGGCAATACACAACAAATTGAAAGTAATCGTTTCTTGGCTGTTTCATTGTTTTTAGATAAAATTGTGTGGAAAAACAACGACTTTCCAAGATCCAATCCATTAAAGAATTTTCACAAACTTAAAGGTGGTTATTTCAACCACGGATCACTAACGATAGATAAAGATCCTGCAGGTGGAGATCAAGATGTCATGAAAGTCTTCTACAAAAATGGAACTTTTTCCTTACCAGCAGTACATACCTTGAGAGGGGCTCAGTTTTATTGTTCACCTATACCTCCCCAAACATCAATGACCTTATCATATCAGGTATATTTTAATCCTGGATTTGATTTTGTCATGGGTGGTAAGCTTCCTGGACTGTTTGGTGGAGCGCATGCAACTTGTTCTGGTGGTAGACATTCTACAACCTGTTTTTCTGCTCGCTTGATGTGGAGAGAAAATGGCGATGGGGAAATCTACACGTACATTCCGGACCAGTCTGCTAGTTTCTGTAATAGGACTGACGTTGAGTGTTTACCCATTAAAGGTACATCTCTTGGTCGCGGGTCATGGAGATTTAAAACCGGAGAATGGGTCAAAATTACTGAACACATCAGTCTAAATAATGTAGGTAAAGACGATGGTTTGGCTCAGATTTGGATAAATGGTAAATTGGTTTACACGGCAAAGAACATTATATGGCGAGTCAACGAGAATATTAAAATAGAAGGGTTATTTTTCTCTACGTTTTTCGGTGGGGCAAGTCAACCATGGGCTGCACATAAAGATGAATATTCTTATTTTAAAGATTTTGTTCTGACAGAGGGAGAATCCGTTCCGGTTGTTGGTAAATAAACAACTTGCATAAATATATATACTAATATATTCATTGCAAAACTATAGTTTATTTCATTAACTATTCGATGTTATTTTATCCTTACTTTAACTTACCATGTAAGCGGTTGCATCAAATATAGAACACACTACCGATGTTTGCCAAATGATCATAAATGTAGACCCTCCCCGACCACTGATCCCACTTTTTAGTACAAAAGCGGAGAGGTGATCAAAGATGCCACAAAGCAGTCTGCTAATAGGCGTACAACTAGTGTTACTTCACAATGAGAATCCGTTAACAGCATTAGTCGATATCTTTTAATTACCATTGACAATTCAATAGTGAATAAGAATCAAGTAGCACCATGCAGGCTTTGGCGTGAAAGTAAATTCGTAATATGTGAAGGGCTTACTTTAAACGACTATTATAAGATTAATGGTTCATGACAACTTCGTACAGATTAGTTTCCTCTTCTGAAAATTTTTCTATGTGTTTCTACTTTGGAGGAAATATCACTGAAATGTCAGTGATTTGAATGAGATTTGAATCATTACGCAATTTAAAATCAGGTCACAAACAAAGTGTCTTAAAATACAAGAGTCTTGTTTAGATTGATTTGTATTTAAAAACGTGCCAGGAATAGAATCTATCTGATCACATGATACCAGAGAAAACTTGAATTGAGATTGAACAAAGAAAGAAGCCTCCCAAAAAAACTCTCCATAAAACATCAGATAATTAAACCGTGTACATTTTGCTGTTTTGCTTTTTTTCAATTTTAAAAAATATTTATGCCGAGTAATAGTATATTTTATTGTTGTATAGTCATGCTAGAAATTGACAGAATTGAGAGGCTATAATTCAACCTTCGCCAATGTTAGATTCATTGATACGGCCATGAAAGGCTGACATATTGCCAGGTAAATTGGCAAGAGCAGACAACTCTGTCTGAAAACGATTTTTATTGGCTAGAAAAGCGTAGTATCCTAATTGAAAAATTAATTGAAGCAAAGAGTGTGCATCAAAGTGTGTATTTATATAAGCGAATCGCCTACACCGATTTGCCTACAGTACATATTTATTTTAGCGATTTACCAAAGCTCTTATCCAACAGCACTTTGGTACGGTTTGTTTGAGATTCAAGATGGCGGGCAGCATTGACAACAAGTAAAAACATGGCGTCATTTGAACAGAATCAGATGGAACTATTTTGTTTTCAATATGGCGATCTCTGTTTGATATACGAGGGTAACTAGCAGCATTTTAGTCCCGAAGATGATACGAGTGACAGGGGTTATGTTCCAATATTTCGTCGTATCTATGCCTAGTCTATGACAGACTAGACGATAGAGATCAACTTATCCTTTGCATTCTTTACGACTTTTGCAAATCTCAGATAAAACACTGATTTCACTCTGTAAGATACTGCGAGTCTTCACTGGCATTATTATGTATCGAAAATTGTAAATCAGGTATAGAGAAACGTTCAATGCTTGAACATAACGGTTTCGGCCATGCATGTAGTTATTAAGAGTTCACTCAAAAGTTATTTTGTGAACAAGTAAAAAAAAATACATCAAGCACTTCAGGATTTATTTATCCCAGCAATGGCGGAACTGATGCTCCCATGGACAAAACAAAATCTTTGAAGTAAGAATAACAATCCTTTTTAGCTCCCCACTCTTTGGTAGCTCCACCAAAAAATGTAGAAAAGAAAATTCCATTGATTTTGATATTATCCTTGACTCTCCATACAATATCTTTAGTATTCATCACTAATTTACCATCAATCCAAATTTTAGCGAAACCATCATTTTTACCAACGGTATTCAGATGAACATGTTCTGTAATCTTAATCCATTTTCCTGTTGGGAATCTCCATTTCCCACGACCCAAGGATGTTCCTTTCGCTGGTGAACAAGCTGTGAACAGAAAAAATCTATCATTTATGCAGTATGGATAGAAGAGGTCTACAATATGTCACCAAATATTTAATATTTCAAATTTCTTATCGAGTACGAGTTTGACCTCCATCAGTGTGGGGTACGTCAAATAGCTAACAATGTGTTCGGTATATCTATTGTTCGATTCGATGATACTTTCTGGAAGCGAACGTCAACTTGTCATCAACTTACCTACCTGATACTTTCTGTATCCATCCATAGTATTATTTAATTAGAATTCATAACTCATTGCTTACCTATATCTGACCTATCACAGAAGCTAGACGGTTGATCAGGAATATAGGTATAGATTTCACCATCACCGTGTTCTCTCCACATCAGTCGAGCTGAGAAACAGCTTGTTGAATGGCGTCCACCAGAACAGGTTGCTATAGCTCCACCATATAATCCAGGTAGTTTACCACCCTTTACAAAATCAAAACCATGACTAAAATACACCTGGTAAGATAGTGTCATGGCGGTATGGGTCGATGAAGGTTGGCTGTAGAATTGAGCACCCTTCAATCCCCGTATTTGGGAGTAAGTGCCTTTCTTGTAGAAGACTCTGAGAACATTTTGATGACCACCAGCTGGGTCTTTAGACGCAGTCAGAGACCCATAATTAAAAAATCCGTGTTCCTGTGGGTGGAAGTTCTTTAAAGGATCGTCTACAGGAAAATCATTGTTTCTCCATAAAACAGAGTCTTGAAAGGTAAGAATAAAGGTCCTGATTAGAATTCACGAACTGGAATCAATTTCTATCATAAACTTCACTTTTAACAACATACATTTTTGCGACAAGTCTTGTTATTACCTTAAATGTAATGTCACATCACCGAGCGTGCACTTTAGTAACAACCAGCAAATATATGGGAAAAAATATCATACTTTACCTGCTCCATATGTTGAATGAAAAAGCACCAGTAGAGGTAATATCGGAATCATCTAAAAGAAATAATGTCATATACATTTCCTTTTCTTAAGATTACATCACCTATTATTTGATGATAGGTATTGTCGTTTATAATTCTCTTGAGTTGAATTCGAAAACTCATCCAATATTTTATTTAGATTTAGAAATTGAATATCGAGCAGTGCACCAATTGAACAAGAAGCCCATACAGCAAAATGATAGCGTCACTTTCAGACAGTGCTTGCTTGTATATAAATATCAAATTCAACTTTACCGTCGTTCATCAAAGCAATGTTGAGAAGGCTCTGTTTTCAAGTCTATCTTCTACAGTTTTATTCAATCTTATCTTAAGTTCAAAGGAAAGGTCAAGAATTATGTGATTCAAAACATGCTGTCTTTTTTTTGTAAGAAGATGGTACCCTTTTTCTGAATTCTATCTTATCTAGATCCTTATATCGTGAGAGATTACATGATTACATGATGCCTGCTTTAGAAATAAAATTGTAACGCCTGTGAAACCAGCATAACAATCAAAGTTTCAAGGTCTGTAAAAATATAGACATATTTCATTGTTGCTATCTTGGCAACTTCATAATGAATTCATAATTTTTGTGACATTTTTGGACCAAATCATTATATGGATAGGTGAATAAAATATGTAAAGCACGTGAAGAATTTAATAAGGTTCAATGTTTTTAACAGAATCGGCCTTCACGCGTGTGTACGCAAGTCAATTTGTAGAATACAGCAGAAAAATGCCAATATTTGGATCTGCAAGGATCCAATAAGAAAATGTTCAAGGAGATAAGGCTGACTGCCATAATTTAAAGTAAGCTATAGGCAGGTTGATAAACAACATAGGCCCTATTGGCGAATTATTAGTTGGAACTTTTCACAAGAGGAAGTAAATCAAACATTATTTCATAATGAAAAGTGGTATCAGGTGTCTGGAAGAGTAAGCATACCATACCCTGCCTGGCTTCACGCCGCTTAACATACACAACAAACATGACAAACGGGAATTTACAAAAAACAAAACGTTAAAGTTCAAGGGATATAACTCATGAAAACATAATATTTATTTAAATTCAAGTAGTTCAAGGGAAAGAACTGACTACAAATGATATATTAAGAGATTATTAGGATAAGACAAGATGTTGCCAAAACCTGCATCTAGGAAGAAGCATTTCAAGTGATCAGAAGATTAAGCATAAGAAACTACATCCTTAATTGCTGCATAAAGAGTAACTTGAACGAGAGGTTAGTTTGTTATACACTTATTGGTTTAGTTTGCTATGAACAAGGTTTTCAATTAAGTTTTGATTTTTTATTATGCGACAATCAGATCATGTTTGTAAACATGAAGAAATTTCTCTTATAAACTCTCATAATGGGCATCTTGTGGACTATCTTACTTACTCGATGTCTAGCTGGTTATATTGAACAAGACCGAAAATAGTGCTATGCCTGCGTTCGTTTCTATCAGTATCGCTGTATTTGTAGTATTTTGTTTAACGCTCTAACTGTTGTTTGGGAGCCGCGATGGCTCAATGAGTAATATGAAGGTCCAGGGTTCAATCCCGGCATGGGTCGAGATGATACCTTCGGATTTTTCAGTGCGGTTTCCCTTGTGATAGTGTAGGTTGCAGGGTTGTCACGAAAAAAAAAACTAGTCGTTCGGATGAGACTATAAACCAAGACCCCCTGTTCTACAGGCTGTTCACGTTAAAGATCCTGGGCAGTTGGAAATCGAAAAGAGTAGGCCTAAGCTTGTGCCGCTGTCCTGACAAAATTTCCTTCGTCTTCATCATCCCAATTAGGAGCAGAAAAGTAGGACGTTAAACTCCATTCTTTTCATTTTCCAACTGTTCTTTCTTTTCAAAAACCAGTCAATATGTCTTTATATTAGGATGTGGTTTTATTTTAGTACTACATATAGGAAATGAATACGAAATGAAGGGAGACAATTCAATTTAGGTATTTGTTTCAAGGGGTAATTTCAGAAATTAGTTATAGTGTGCTAGATTTTTATTACTTAGATCTACGGCAATTATTGAATCAGTGTCACAATTATAGATTGTCTAACATCATATTATCTAAATAAAGTGATTCCAACCGTAACATATCACACAGCTTCCTTTCGATAAGAAACTAATAACAGAACAATGCGTATTTGCGAGATTATCAGCAGTGGCAGAGCCAGCATTCCAAGACTGGGGACTGCAAAAATATTGAGGTTGAGCTTTCAAATTCGGCAGTACCGTGGAAGCGCCATATACACACCTTCCAAGAAGCGTCTGAGACGGTTCTTCCCCAAAAAATCATGACTTTTATTTTGTTATTATTTCGCAATAGTAGATGTGTCTTTGATGGTGGCAGTACAGTCAACTGCGTGACTAACGGTTCTGCTGTAAAATTCGAGAAGTAAACTGTCTAAGCTGTCTAAGTCCTTTGTTCTGTTCCGCTTTTTTGTGTCGAGCTTAAGTCGTGATGAGCAGTGGCGTTTCTGGGAAACATTAGTTGATAGGGCCGAGCATGGGGCACAGCTATTCTTTAAAAAGTGTAAATTGATAAAATATTTTGAGAATGTGTTTCTTGTCAGGTAGTGATAATGAGAATGTAGGCCTTATTTCTTTTAGTTTCTGAGTAGAGATTGTGTCGAAACAAGGTATGGCCATGCTAGTGCCAACGTTAAGGATTTGAGTTAGGAAGGTATAGCTGCTACAATAAATATCAGATGATGCCTTAAGTAAAACTAATTAATAGCCACGAAAATTGTGTCTATGATTTATTGGCCTAACACTCTAGAACCTACTCAATCCTAGTAGCACGAACACCTTACACACACCAACAAAATACTCCACACTTCCAATACCTGTCAGTCTGGATCAGTTTTCTTTCAGCATTCCGTAATCTTAGAATATAAGTCTTTATGGATAACAATCTCACCATTTCTTAAACACGACGTTTCGACAAGATTCCACTGGTCGTTATCGAGTGTACAAAATATAACAAATGAAGTACCATAGAGGCAAAACATAAATATATACATGCATGTAACAATGGGACGTAATAAGATTATTATTAAGGATCATAAATATATACGTGCTTATTCTATTCCGTGTCAATCACTAAATGCCTATCAAACAGTATTCTGCAATCTTGCCTAGGGAGTCAAATCTGCTTTCGACTCGATTCGATTCGACCCTTTTCCAATGATTGGAATATAGATCGACCCCCTCAAATAATTACTGTGTATAGTAATTGGTGTACATATAATTGGTTATTATAAATTCTACAAATTCTCACACACTTCAGTCCTCTCAGATTCAAAACAAAATCTGCCATGATTTTGTTCAAGTTAACAAGAGAAGAGAAATCCACGAGTCGGTTGATTTTATTGGTGATAACTGGGCTCTGGACGATCAAGGTACATAACGAGATAATGTTATTTTTATTTTTTGGTCGAAAAAGATTTGTACACAATAGGCCTATTATATGTAGTCTGCAAGTTGTTCCCTTTGAGTCTTTATATTTCCCTCAGAAAAAAACATAAATATATGTGGTTAAATATTTGCCACATTACAGTCTGAATCAGACTATTCAATTAATTTCAACATATATTTGTAATAAACTTATCGACAATACGACTCTAATGGGTTAAGCTATTTTGGAAGTAGTGAGCGATAGAATTTTTTTTTTAACAAATTCAACTGATTGTCGACTGATACATTTGAGCACTAAACGTAATTAAGAGCAAATACTCGAATACGGTATCACAGCTGTTGTGCAAAGCAGGTAACAGTGTTGTATTTGTCTTATTACCATCGATGGGAACAATACTAGAATGCTAGCTTGCAATATTCTGGTATGTTTTTTTTAACATGAAACTATAATTATAGTATTATTAAGATTGTTAATCTGTGATAGGACAGTGTTACATTGTCAGTGAATCGTGAAGGTTAGTTATAAGAACCTCTATAATTACTATCAATCCATGATCTTAGAGAAGCTAAATTACTTTCATTATCTTAATCACGAGATGAAACTAGATATCTTACACCTCAATGATCAGTAAGATCACAATGCCTATTATGAAATAAATGAGTGAAAAACAAATAAGATCCGCTGTTTTACTGAACTATCCAGGAAACAGCGTATCCACGTTGGTATGCATCTAACAGTTTTGAAACAAGTGGCACCTTTTCATTGCAAACCAAGTTCCGTATACCACATTTTATTAGGATAGATTGCAAGTGTGCACACATAAATCATTTTGTTCAGTGCCTTCAATGCATCATTCTGACTGTTGAAAGGATATTTACCTCTATTGCAATTACAGGCATATCATATATAACCTTTTTGTGTTTTTGGTCAAGCAAAACAAATCGTATACAACCAATTACTCCTTCGGTATAAATTTTTTTTTTTTTACACAATCCTGCATTTATCTGCTCGAAACAAAAAAGGCAAAGAATTGACATGTACTTAATATTCTTATAGTATAATTTGAACTTTAATACAATATTTCACTATATGTATATTGCACTACATGTATTTCCTATACAATATTGCACTACATGCACTACATGTATTTCCTATACAATATTGCACTACATGTATTTCCTATACAATATTGCACTACATGTATTTCCTATACAATATTGCACTGCATGTATTTCCTATACAATATTGCACTACATGTGTTTCTTATACAATATTGCACTACTTGTATTTCCTATACAATATTGCACTACATGTATTTCCTATACAATATCGCACTTCATGTATTTCTGTATTTCCTATACAATATCGCACTACATGTATATCTGTATTTCCTATACAATATTGCACTACATGTATTTCCTATACAATATTGCACTACATGTATTTCCTATACAATATTGCAATACATGTATTTCCTATACAATATTGCAATACATGTATTTCCTATACAATATTGCACTATATGTATTTCTTATACAATATTGCACTACATGTATTTCCTATACAATATTGCAATACATGTATTTCCTATACAATATTGCACTATATGTATTTCTTATACAATATTGCACTACATGTATTTCCTATACAATATTGCAATACATGTATTTCCTATACAATTTTGCACTATATGTTTTTCTTATACAATATTGCACTACATGTATTTCCTATACAATGTTGCAATACATGTATTTCCTATACAATATTGCACTATATGTATTTCTTATACAATATTGCAATACATGTATTTCCTATACAATTTTGCACTATATGTATTTCCTATACAATATTGCACTACATGTATTTCCTATACAATATTGCACTAC